TTCCTGACGTTTCGCAAGCACGAGTGGCTTGCATCTTCAGAAGTGGTTTGCTTGAACGCTTACACTGTTCTCATCAGAAACCGCGTTCAGTTCTGCGGAAAAACTGATCGGGTTCTGATGAGCGTTCAAGCAAACCACTTCTGAAGATGCAAGCCACTCGTGCTTGCGAAACGTCAGGAAGAAATTCTACCGAACGACGGCCTAAAAACCCATTAGTTTCAACATATTTTTGATTTAATCGGCAAGTCAAATGGCATCTAGGTGCATTTTATTCAGGCTTTATTGTTTTCATTTAAAAGCATCCCTTCAGCTGGGTTCTCCCTTTTGGGCGGTGGGTCTTTAGCGAAGATCAGTCTGTAAATGAAAGCTCCTACAAATCCTGCGGAGAGCGGAGCTAGCCAATAAACCTGCAAAAATGTTTTATTTGTAAGCATTGCGACAAAGTAAATATTTTGCTGTTTTCTACATGTTACTCACCCAATGATCCTTCCAGTCTCCGTTGAAAAGAGCAGGAGCAAAGCTTCTGGCTGGATTCATATTGGCACCAGTGTAGGGTCCCTGAACAGAAGAGAAAATAATTTATACATATATCTAATCACCATAAACCAGGGAATCATGTGTTTAGCGATGTCAAAAATCCGGAATTTACAACTTGATTGAAACACTTTTTTTAAGGACATGAGAATAACCAAAATGTATAACGAGATTTATTGTTGTTGATTATAATGACTCGAATGTAACGTGAGTGTACCCAAAGCAAAGCGTGTACGAAAACATGCGAGTCAATGGTTGTGATACAGTTTTTAGCGTTAATTTACAACAGTTTCAAATTTGCTTTAATGATTTTCAACAAAAAAACACAAAACCCAAATCTTATCGTCTATTGAACTTCACAGTTTGGAGTTTAAAACATCAACGTTCAGCTTTTGTCTATTAAAAAGTGGCTTGATGTTTTTGAAAACGGGTAGAAAGTTTCACGGATTATTGTTAATAACATCAGGTGGAAAATGCAGATCAATAATTTGGGAACTCAAACTGAAATAATGTTCGTAGTTGATGATTTTGACTCCAATTTGAGTTTCCAAATCCTTGCGATTTAAAGAAGCAACTTCTGCGAAAGTAAACTTAATTTGGTTGATTATTAATATTCTTGTGCTCTTTATGGAGAAACTACATAGCAAACCATAAATTTTGAGCGACTTTTTTCGAAAGATTCTACAACTTTACCGGAATGTTCGAATTATAAGTAACAGTTTTATATTGAACTGCAAGGTTCAAAAATTTAACAAAATAGTCGAGAAAGAGTCAGCAATGATTTAAAGACAAAAATTTACTTACAGCAGCTAGAGCTAAGACAGCAATAGCTAAACCGAATCGAATCGCCACCGAATCATGTTTGTCGCTATTTCGCTGGTCCCAAACTCCACAGCACACCAAAGCTAGAATAAGGGTGGCCAGGAACTCCACCAGGAAACCCTGCAGGGGAGTTATTCCGGGATTAATTCCCGGAGAACAAACGCCTGCAGATTTAACAAGGGTTCCATTGATGGTTTCGCTGATTATATTGCCCATGAACTTGGCTGGAGTAACCACCTGGAAATGTGAAAACACTTTGTTATTAGCGAGAAAAAAACGGTCTAGCTTGCTTTAAAGGAGGCATTTTGCATTCTATGAGTTGGAACCCTCAAGAGTCATCCACCTGCATGGAGTGTGATCGACAATTCGGCCTTTTTCCAGAGAAAAAACTTACATTTGTTAGAAAAATATTAATTAGTTTTACGTAAGGAGAAAACAATCATGGTTTTCTCCTCCGATTGGACTCCAGAATAGATTGCAAATTTGAGAATAAGCAAAGAAGTTCTCGGTTTCCCGCAAACAGTGTATTTGCGTCAGATCGGATGTGCGTAGAAATAAGCAAATATTTCGTACAAACTTCTTTTTGGGTATTTCGCCTAAAAAATTTTTGTCTTTAAAAAAGACAGAATTTCCTCACGTCTTCTATTACAGATTGATAAATAGTGCTCCTATTTCGCAATATGAACGAATTATTTATCAAAAAGTAATCAAGAACTATCACCTAGAGGGTATCCTGCG